GCTATTTTTTCTAATTTCTCATTATTTAATATTTAAAAATTCATTAAAAAAAATTGGTTGGTTGAAAAATTATGAAACTTGGTTTGTAGATCCATTAGAATGTCCCATTCATGAATCAATCGAGTTCCTGGAAAAAAACATTGTAAAACTCGAGATATTCGACCGTATGACGCCTCAGAAAAATCGTGTCTAGGCCTGGCAGACCAAAAATGCCTCAAAATGTACTATATAGGGGGGTGACTAGTCTGCATGGGCTGGCCACCGGGGCGCCCCCTATATCCTCCGCCACCCCCACGCCCCAAGCACTATGCGCCGCACATGGGCATATGCTTGGGGTGTGGGGGTGGCGGATGGCGGACGACGGCGGTTGACGGCGGCGGTGCGGTGGCGAAACTTGCGGGTTCGAGGTATTTGTCGGTCGCGCCTTCGGGCGTGCAACGTGATCCTTGTCGAGATGGGACTGTTGCGATGTTGCCTTCTAACTTGGGCTGCCTTCGGGATGGTGGATGGTCGGAACGACGACAAAGCGTGCAAGGTGGGGTGGAGTTGGGTGCCTTCGGGCGTCCAACATGAGCCTCGTCGAGCGTGCGGCGTTGTGGTGACGCCGTCAGGCCATCCTTGGGGCAGCCCTATGTTTTGAAGGCGTGTGGTGCCAGAACATGTTCGGCTGGTTGGAATCGTGTGCCTTTGGGCGTGCGACATGAGACCAGTTGGCAGAACGTGCACGGTTGGGCGGTGTCAAGTGCCTTCGGGCGTGCGACGTGAGCCTCGCTTTGCACGGATGGTTTCGATGCTTCCTTCAAACTCGGGCCGTCTCTAGGATGGTTGATGGCCTGNTGAGAATGTCCCATTCGTGAATCAATCGAGTTCCCGGAAAAAAACATGGTAAAACTCGAGATATTCGACCGTATGACGGCTCAGAAAAATCGTGTCTGGGCCTGGCAGACCAAAAATGCCTCAAAATTAACTATATAGGGGGGGTGACTAGTCTGCATGGGCTGGCCACGGGGGCGCCCCCTATATCCTCCGCCACCCCCACGCCCCAAGCACTATGCGCCGCACATGGGCATATGCTCGGGTCGTCGAGGTGGTGNGCTTAGAAAAATCGTGTCTAGGCCTGGCAGACCAAAAATGCCTCAAAATGTACTATATAGGGGGGGTGACTAGTCTGCATGGGCTGGCCACGGGGGCGCCCCCTATATCCTCCGCCACCCCCACGCCTCAAGCACTATGCGCCGCACATGGGCATATGCTGGGGGTGTGGGAGTGGTGGTTGGCGGACGACGGCAGTTGACGGCGGCGGTGCGGTGGCGAAACTTGCAGGTTCGAGGTAGTTGTCGGTCGCGCCTGACGGCAGTTGACGGCGGCGGTGCGGTGGCGAAACTTGCAGGTTCGAGGTAGTTGTCGGTCGCGCCTTTCGGCGTGCAACATGATCCTTGTTGAGATGGGACTGTTGCGATGTTGCCTTCTAACTTGGGCTGCCTTCGGGATGGTGGATGGTCGGTACGACGACAAAGCGTGCAAGGTGGGGTGGAGTTGGGTGCCTTCGGGCGTCCAACATGAGCCTCGTCGAGCGTGCGGCGTTGTGGTGACGCCGTCGGGCCATCCTTGGGGCAGCCCTATGTTTTGAAGGCGTGTGGTGCCAGAACATGTTCGGCTGGTTGGAATCGGGTGCCTTTGGGCGTGCGACATGAGACCAGTTGAGCATGGAATGTGGCCTTCTAACTTGTGCTGCCTTCAGGATGGTGGATGGTCGGAACGACGACAAAGCGTGCGAGGTGGGGTGGTGTTGGGTGCCTTCGGGCGTCCAACATGAGCCTCGTTGAGCGTGCGACGTTGTGGTGATGCCGTCGGGCCATCCTTGGGGCAGCCCTATGTTTTGAAGGCGTGTGGTGCCAGAACATGTTCGGCTGGTTGGAATCGGGTGCCTTTGGGCGTGCGACATGAGACTAGTTGNTGCAAGGTGGGGTGGAGTTGGGTGCCTTCGGGCGTCCAACATGAGCCTCGTCGAGCGTGCGGCGTTGTGGTGACGCCGTCGGGCCGTCCTTGGGGCAGCCCTATGTTTTGAAGGCCTGTGGTGCCAGAACATGTTCGGCTGGTTGGAATCGGGTGCCTTTGGGCGTGCGACATGAGACTAGTTGGGCATGGAATGTGGCCTTCTAACTTGTGCTGCCTTCGGGATGGTGGATGGTCGGAACGACGACAAAGCGTGCAAGGTGGGGTGGAGTTGGGTGCCTTCGGGCGTCCAACATGAGCCTCGTCGAGCGTGCGGCGTTGTGGTGACGCCGTCGGGCCATCCTTGGGG